TGCATACAGTGTGATTCCATTTATGTAAAATTTAAAATCAGGAAAAACTAGAATTTTTTATCTACTAATAAATACTTGGGTGGGAAAAACCATCAAAAAAGAAAAGGAATGATTAACACAAAATTCCATTTCTAGATAGCTGGAGGGGAGGGCAGAAAGAGGACGTAAGCCCAGGAGGTTTCTAGGTTATTTCTTGGCAATACCCATTTCCTGGCCTGGAAGGTGTTTTCACAGTTAACTAATTTTAACTTTTTAAACCTGTATATACACTTTCATAAACATATACATTTTATGTACCTTAAATGCATACTCTGTTTAACATTTTTTAAAGATGTTATTTATTTATTTATTTGAGAGAGCTCAAGAGAGAGCACAAGTAGGGGGGAGGGGCAGAGAGAGAGGAAAAAGCAGACCCCCCACTGAGCAGGGAGCCCAGTGGAGGGCTCCGTCCCAGGACCCTGGGGTCATGACCTGAGCTAACGGCAGACGTTCAACCAAATGAGCCACCCACGTGCCTCTCTGTTCAACATTTTTTTAGGAAAAGCATAGCCTTTCATTGAGACAGATTAACATGTGGCATGATGAAGTATAAGAACGGAAATACGTTTGACCTAAATGCCAGGAACACTTGCCTTCAGAGTTAGTGATGTTCCCTTCTGTACATATCCAGTCTTACTACTTTGTTCTTTAGTGACTAATATTTAATCATTATAATATTATAAATCCAATTGTTGGTTTGTGATTTTTCTAATGGGCCTACAGGCAATTCCAAAAATTAAATTATTAATTAAATTAATGTTAATGAGGGTGACTCATTACTGAGCAGAATATAAATTACTGAATAGAATGTAATAATTACTGAACAGAATATAAATATCTTAAATCTTGGCTATGTAGAAGGAAAGGTGTAGCTGTGCAGAGTTGTGTGCAGTGCAGGGAGAGAAGAATAAATGAGTGAATTTCCTCATTTCACATAGTATAAAGGAAAAGATACTGTCAGCAGTTGATTAGTCAAGAAACAGAAGGTTAAAGTTCTAAATACCCACTAGAGGCATTAAAAGTAATAATAGGGCGCCTGGGTGGCTCAGTTGGTTAAGCGACTGCCTTCGGCTCAGGTCATGATCCTGGAGTCCCGGGATCGAGTCCCGCATCGGGCTCCCTGCTCG